CTTTTTTTCCGGTTGCTTTTTTTGTCGTTTTTCGTTTTTTTTTTTTTTTTCTTTGATTGTCCCGATGCCCGTTCCGCGGGCACGTCCAGTAAAGGGAGGGTGTGAGAGGGGCGGGAGTGTGCGGAGTGAGGGTGAGGCGGCGCTGCCACGCAGAACCGCCGGCGATGTGATGAGTGCGACGGGTGCGGGCGGCAACGTGAGGTTGTGGCGCCTGTGGGGCCGCGATGGTGCAGGTGCAGGTGCAGGTGTGTGCGTGTGTGTGTGGCCGGCCATCACGGCCGCGCTGTGTGGGCGGGCGACACCTTCAGGCGAGCACCAGCGTAAGTAGGAAGAGGTGGGCGCGCGACCCTCAACCTGCCCACTGACCCCACCACCAGCCAAACTATGCAGCCCTAAGTGGCGATGTGTTCTTTTTTTTTCATTTCTTTTCGTGCACGGCTGCGCAGGATTACAAACTGTTGGACGACGCTCCAAAAGAAAAAAGAGAAAAAACAAAAAAAAAGCACCAACAAACAACAACAAATTCCAAATTATTGGCGTTGATTTGCCACCACGTAGCCCCTTGGGTCTGTTGCTGCTTCCCACCTCTGCTGCGGCTCGTGAGCCTGCATTATCGGCTTTTTCGTTTTGCCTCTCTTCTTCTAATCTTTCTTCCGCTGGGAAAACAAGACCGCGCAGGGTGCTAGGCGTCAACGGTGAATTCAAACGAAATTGGCTTGCCGCTGTGGCATTGGCGGCGCTTGTACGGCAACACAGTTCCCCCCGTACGCACACACGAGGTACGTAAGTGCGTACACATCCATTTGGTACAGTTTTTTTTTTGGTGGTGACGCAATAAAATTGATTGGATTGGATTTGATTTCGTTTTTTTTCTTTTTGAGGGCAACTCCCCAGAAGCAGAGAGGCGCGGGAGGCAGCCGGCCGCAACGACGGCGTGGTAGGAAGCAACAGGGAAGAGGGAGCGCAACAGTCGCAGGCCAGCGGAGAAGAAATCCAGGGCCCGAATAATTTTTTTTTTTCCCCCCTTCACTAAACACCGTCAGTGATCATTATCACTGACCAGTCGCATCTCCTCTGAAAGCGTGGCCTCGGCTCGGGGAAGAGGAGGACGCCAAAAGTAGAAATTAAAATTTGGGCCGGCTCGTGGCGCAGTAGAGGGAGGAGGGAGCCGGGAAATAAATAAATATTCAAGCAAAGGTGTGGTGGTGGCGGTGCTGAGGTAGGGCAGTCACAACTGTTTACGCACGCAATGAACACGGCAATTCCATACGGCCGGGGCGACCTTGAGTGGCCTTCCCTGGGCCAGGCAGCAGAGGGGGGCGGCTTTTCGGACTCGGGCGGTGAAACAGTCCAAATGCAGGAAAGATTTCTGCCCTTGCCTCCTTCGTTGACGAACCCCACAGTATTCGACGGTGGAAGGGAATGCGCACTCGAGGCAAACAACGCCACGGATACAGAAAACAGCAAAGACTTCGATACTCCAGAGCGTGTTGCAATTTGTTCAAGAAAGGGGAGTTGCGGTCAACAGTTTGGCGCAATAATGCGTCGTGTCTTTCAGCTGAAGCGACGGTCACCGTGTGCGTCAATCTGCGAGTTGCTTATGCCTATTATCTTTGTAGCTGGAAGTATCATTCTATGGGCAATTATTGGGCGCTCTTCAAGCCCGGAGGGAAGTTACTTCTCGGCGGAGAATGTGAATGAATCCGAAATGTTTCTTCGACTATTTAACCGTGAAATATGTTACAACAATAAAAGCGTGGTTGACCCCATTATTGGTCTTCAGGAATGCGTGTTGCCAGACCCAGAGAACAACACCGTCTGTGCTACGCCTGAGAGCGGTGCTCCGCACTGGTTCTGCTTAAACCAAACGATGTCCGAAATATTGCAGATGCTCCCATGGTATCCAAGGGGAAGGACACTCCACATCCCAACATTGGACCAACTGATCCCTTTAAAGTGGGCATACCGATTAGTCAATAACGAAAGCTGGTCCTACGCTGCGACTTCCAGAGCTTTTCATGCCGTTGGCGAAATATACTTTACCCCGGCCTCGGATGCCACGACTGCTCTTGTAGAGTACCTTAACGCCACTTCTCAATACTTCCGCTACGTTTACGGTGGGATGCTTGATACAGCCGCCATTGACGCAATGTCCAGTGAGGATAGCTCCATCTGGGGGATTGTGCAGGTGAACGACATCTCACCAGAGACGTACGATGTGACGATCCGCCTCAACGCGTCTGTTTTACCAGCGACAAAAAGAGTGGTGGAGATTGACTACCGTGGGGGGCTGGTTAACTCCAGTGATGAGCTGTACTTTCTTTCAGGTTTTTTGACGCTGCAGGATGCCTTATCCAATTACTTCCTTAGTGCCGTTAAAGGCATTCACGTCCACTTCCCTCTGCTAGTTGGTCCTACACCCACAGCAGCATTCGACAATCAACTGTTTTTGACTCTTTCCGGGCAATTGGCACCCCTCATTCTCGTAATGGGGTTTTTGTATCCAGTTTCTCAGCTAACGCGGAGTATTGTGGTGGAAAAGGAGCTGCGCCTTCGCGAGGCGATGTTAATTATGGGTCTCTCGGAGGGCATCATGTATCTTGTGTGGTTTATCGTGTACGTGGTGCAGTACTTCGTTACAAGTTTGCTTATGGCTTTGATGATGAAGTTGACGTATCTGCCAAGGACAAACTACCTTTGTATTTTCATACTGTTGTTCCTCTTTGGCCTTTCCACGGTCGCGCTGTCGGGTCTCTTGGCGACCTTTTTCAGCAACGCCAGACGCGCCGCCATTCTCGCGCCGCTCATCTACTTTGTATCCGCGATTCCACTGTTTCTTGTGACAGACGCCTCTGCTTCAGGGAAGATTGCTGCATCATTTTTGTCGCCGAGTGCATTCTCCGTTGGTGCTACTATTATATTTTCCCACGAACTTCATGGAGGCATGAGCCTCTCGGAACTCACGTACTTCCGCGATCAACCGACTCTGGCTGCGATACTCGGTGTGCTGCTACTGGACTCTGTACTTTATGTGGTGATAATGGTGTATTTGGATGCTGTTATTCCGAAGGACTGGGGAACGACACAGCACCCCTTGTTCTGCATCCTTGAGCCAATCCGCTGGTGCATTTGCCGTCGACGTGAGGACGGCAGTGGTGGTGAGGATGGTCGTGCATTGAACGGTGTGTTTGAGAAGGTGGAAAATGAGGAGGGCGACGCTGTGCGTCTTCTTGGTCTGCGGAAGGTGTACCGGCGGGGCGGGAAGAAGTTCGTCGCGGTGAATAATCTGTACTGGAGCCTGTGCGAGGGTGAGATATCCGTGCTTCTGGGCCACAATGGTGCGGGGAAGTCGACGACGCTGAACATGATGACAGGCATGGCGAAGCCTGACGGCGGCGACTGCTACGTGTATGGGTTTTCGGTGCGGCACCAACTGTCGCGTGTGCGGCAGGAGATTGGGTTCTGCCCGCAGCACAACATTCTGTGGCCGGAGCTGACGTGCCGCGAGCATCTTGAGTTTTTTGCCCAAATCAAAGGCTTGAAAGGTGCCGAACTGGAGGAGGCAGTGCAACGGATGTTGAATGAAACAGATCTGCAGGAAAAAGAGCACTGTTTTTCGAAGACCCTTTCTGGTGGGCAGAAGCGGAAGCTTTCAGTGGCTGTTGCATTTGTGGGTCGGAGTCGCCTTGTGTTCCTTGACGAGCCGACCGCCGGTATGGATGTTGGTGCCCGCCGCTACACGTGGGAGCTGCTGAAGCGAATGTCTTCCTCACACACCGTTCTGCTGACGACGCATTACATGGACGAGGCGGACCTGCTAGGACACCGTATTGGTATCTTGAGCAACGGTTCTCTGCAGTGCTCTGGCAGTAGTTTGTTTCTAAAGTCTAGGTTGGGTCTGGGGTATCTGATGACGATGTCTGTCGTGCTGCATGCGGATCGCCACGCCATTGGAGAACTTGTGCGCATG